TGTGTGTGTGTGTGTGTGTGTGTGAGAGTGTGTGTGAGTGTGAGAGTGTGTGTGTGTGTGTGTGTGTGAGTGTGTGTGTGTGTGTGTGTGTGTGAGTGTGTGTGTGTGTGTGTGTGTGTGAGTGTGTGTGTGTGTGTGTGTGTGTGAGTGTGTGTGTGTGTGTGTGTATGTGAGTGTGAGAGTGTGTGTGTGTGAGTGTGTGTGTGTGTCTTACTTTCTCGTAGGAGGACGTGTTGTCGCCTGGAACCTCCACTACATTGCTGTCACCCTAAAACCAGAAGCTGCTGTTAGTGAGCCTTACATCAATCGCACACAGATCACACGACGCGCTCGCACTCACCTTCCCTCCCGCGCCGGGGCCGAGAGCCACCTGCACCATGATGCTCTCTCCATTCTGAAACACACACACACATTAAGATAAGAGCATGAGCAGACGCTGCTGAGTGTGGATCCGCTGCTACTCACCGGCGTCAGGAACGGTGTGATGAAGACGAAGAAGACGTCGTAGACCAGCAGCAGACTGAGCAGAATCACGCAGATCTGCAGAAACGAGCAAACACACGTCAGACACTCAGCACAGCCGCCGCTCGCGCCACTGAAAACACAGCTCACCTTAAAGTTGGACAGGCTGATGGTTTTCAGGAAGTTCAGGCAGAAGGCGATTCCCAGCAGATCCTGAAGAATCCAGATCCACCTGCAGACGAGCAGAACACAGACACACCGTCAGAAGCGCTCCGATCATGTGAGAGACCATTCAAACTCAGTCTCTGTGCAGGAGTGCTGTGAATTTTTGAATAAAAATTGCTATTGCAACTCAAAATGCATAAAAAAATAAAGTTATAATATTATTAAACAAAATAAGAAATATTACTATAGTAATATTTCAATGTTTGAGTATTTATTAATAAATACACTGCAGCATATGCTGCTCGCATGGAAATAAACACAGTGCATGATTATTTATTTCAGTCGCAGCCTTTGCAATTTGTTAACTGCACAATTATGGTTTTATTCTGAATAATTGTGCAGCCCTACTCTGTGGTATTATACAGTGATAGAAAGCAGCAGTTATGACACAGTCTGCTGTGTGTTTCAGCAGATAAAGATCCACACGCACAAAAACTCAAAAACACACACTGAATGCAGAAGTGAGAAACTCAGAATGACCACAGTGAATGGGAAGAGACTCGTCTGCTGACATCAGAGACTGAGTTCTGTTGAGCTGGAAGTAAAAACACTCTTTCACTGGACAGTCTGACGCTGAGTGACGAACTGTGTGTGAATCAGTCTGGAACAGACGTGTGTGTGTCGAGGAAACGGCAGCATGACACTCTGAAAACAAACCACACTATAAACTGACCAGAGCAGGAAAACAGAGCTGTGTGTGTG